ATATATATATATATAAAATTTAAATTTAGAGACAGATGTCCCTAATATTTTAGGAGCTCATTAAGTTGCTGAGGCTGGCTTTGAACTTGTGATCCTCCTGCCTCAGCCTCATGAGCCTCGGAATTACAGTTTTGTGTGCCCAGCACACTGTAGGTTTTGAATGTCTTACATTTTCACAAGCTTTGTAAATTTGCCCATCTAATCCTTTTTCTGCTCCACATAAATTTTCAGTTGCATCACATGCAGTAGGTTCCACCTCAGGTCGTACTGAAGTGGTGTATTTTCAACCTCTTTGGAATATCCTAGCCTTAATCATTTCATCCACATTATTCGTGTCTAATTCTTTTTTCTTTTAAAAATGTGTCAAATTGTTTTCCAGTGTGATTATGTTACTCCCAGGGTTTTAGATCTCTAGTTTTCCACATCCTTTCAACACTTGGTGTGGTCAGTCTTTTTTTTTTTAATTTTATTGTTTATTTTTTATTTGTTCTTATTAGTTATTATGAAAGTAGAAAGTATTTTGACATACTATACATATATGGAGTATAACTTCTCATTATTCTGGTTGTACATGACGTAGAATTACATTGATCGTTTAATCATATATGCACATAGGAAAGTTATGTCTGATTAATTCTACTGTTTTTCCTTCCACCCTTCCCTTCATTCTCCTTTGTCTAATCCACTGAACCTCTATTCTTCTCTACTCACCCCTATTGTGAGTCAGCATCTGCATTCTGCATACCAGAGAAAATATTAGGCCTTTGGTTTTTGGGGGGTTGGCTTATTTCACTTATCATGATAGTCTTTAGTTCCATCCATTTACCAGCAAATGCCATAATTTCTTTACAGCTGAGTAATATTTCATTGTGTAAATGTACCACATTTTCTTTATCCATTCATCTGGTGAAGGACACCCTAGGGTTCCCATAGTTCAACTATTGCAAATTGAGCTGTTATAAACATTGATGTGGCTACATCACTGTAGTATGCTGATTTTAAGTCCTTAGGTATAAGCTGAGGAGTGGGATAACTGGGCATGTCTGATTCTTCATTAACTGAAAACTCTGTACTGTCTCCTGGAATAAGTAGCAACAATTGAGCAGTATCTATAACATCTTTTTACTAATCAAGAGCTTAGGAAAATTATTAGCCCTCTGTTCTAAATTGATTTTTGATGTTCCAATATTATCTAGTATTTGAACAACTGTTCTTACTCAAAAAGACGTATAGTTTTCAAAAGTTTTAGATTTTGCAGGCAAATAGAAACAAGGCTATTACACAGGGACTTTCTGGGCACTCTTTAATGTTCTTACTTCTTTTTTGTAGTATTGGCTACTGAGCCCAGGATGCACACAAGGGAAGCACTCTACCATGAACTACACCTCAACTCTGCACTTACTTTTCAAAATGATGCAAATAAATTTATTTGGGGGAAAACTACCATATTTCCTTGCTTAACAAGGGTAGATAGCCACCACAATGAGTGAAAGTGTTAGAATGACCATTGTCAAGGGTCACTCTCATGTGGCATGTGCATACAATCACCCATCAGCACACATGAGTCCAAATTATTCTATTATCTCACTGAGTAAGCCAACAGTTGCTTCACGTCAGGCTAAAGAAGAAAAAAACACCAAAGAACAAGATAAGAAATCTCTGTTGCTAGAGGGCTTTTTTTTTTTAAATTTAAGTATGATATTTAAGTTAATTAGTTTTCTAGCTTAGAATCATTAATTCGGTATAGCAGCCAACTTATCTCTTCTCCCCTCCTCCCCTTTACCCCTGTATTGGGGATTGAACCCTGAGTGTTTTAACCATTGAGCTATATCCCCAGCCACTTTTTTTAATATTTATTTTTTGGTTGTAATTGGTCACAATATCTTTGTTTTATTTATTTTTATGTGGTGCTAAGGATTGAACCCAGGGCATCGCACATACTAGGCGAGCCCTCTACCACTGAGCCAAACCCCAGCCCTCCTCAGCCATTTTTATCTTTTCTTTCAAGAGGTCTTGCTAAGTTGCTGAGGCTGGCCTCAAACTTGTGATCGATCCTCTTGCCTCAGCTTCCCAAGTCACTGGAATTAAGGTGTGCACCAGTGTATCTGGCTGAACGCACATTTTTAATTTTTTTTTTGGATATTTTATTTTTTAGTTGTAGTTGGACATAATACCTTTATTTTATTTATTTTTATGTGGTGCTGAGGATCGAACCCAGGGCCTCACATGTGCTAGGCAAGCGTGATACCGCTGAGCCACAACCCCAGCCCGAACACACATTTAAAAAAAAAATTTTTTTAAATTGTCGATGTACTTTTACTTTATTAATTTATTTAAATGTGGTGCTGAGAATCGAACCCAGTGCCTCACACATGCTAGGCAAGCGCTCAACCACTGAGCCCCAGCCCCAGCCCACATTTTTAAACAATAATTTTAAAAATCATTGTTATTGACACTATGAAATGTGTCATCCCAACACTGTCATGTCATAATTGGAAATATAACAGAATTTCCACAGTACTGCTCAGTAATGACGTGTTAATCCATGCTTCATCATTCAAGTTTAGAAAAAAGTAAGCTTTGGAACTTCAGTCATGTCAAACATCAGGGTCTATCCTGATCCACAATTAGATAAGTCAGTAGTTCTGGAAATTCTATCCAAGTTGTGTGGAGGTTCCCTCTGCATTGCCCGGGATAACAAGACTTGGAACTAGACCTGTCTTTCAGCAGATTGGTTTCAGTTAGTATATAATGGTCATCATTTCCTTTGCTCCTCAGACAGCTGACAAAGGACAGGAAGACTGAGGGCTTTTTCTGATACTCTGCAAATCCATTTAAGGAAATTCATCATGGATCCCCCCCGCACACCCCTTTACTGGGTTTGCAAATCCAGGGCCTTGAGTATGCTGGGCAAGTGTTCTGTCACTACACAAGTCCCCAGCCCTGTTGCCCATGGGGGTTTCTTTTTTTCTTTCTTTCTGTATGTATGTATGTTTTTATGTATATATTTATTTTGGGTACCAGGGATTGAACCCAAGGGCATTTAACCACTGAGACACATCCTCCATCTTTAAAAAAATTTTTTTTTTAGTTGTGGATGGACACAGTACTTTCATTTTTATGTGGTGCTGAGGGTGGAACCTGGTGCCTTACTACTGCCAGGAAAGGGCTGTACCCCTAAGCCACAACCCCAGCCCCCACCCCTGCCTTTTTTGAGACATTCTCCTGCTTCAGCCTCCTGATCCATTGTGATTACAGGTGTGGGCCACCTGGAGCAGCCTGTTGGCATTTCTTAATGAGTGATACAGCGTGTCCAAGCCTCCATACTTTATTACATTCTTTTATATAATTGTGTCATCAGCAGAGCTGCCCCTAGGTTTAGGATTCTTTTTTCCTCTCTAGTGCTGGAGATTGAACCCAGGGCCTCACACATGCTAGGTAAATCCTCTGCAACTGAGCTACATCCCCTGTCCTTTTCATTTTTATTTTTTTTCCTTATTTTATTCGTGCATTTATAGTTATACATGATGGTGTAATTTGTACTACCTATTGTTACATGCGTACTATTTCTCTCTCCCTCCCCTCCCTCTCTCTCTCTTTCTTTCTTTCCTCCCCCAAGAGAGTGTCTCGCTAAGTTGCAGGCCTCAAACTTGTGATCTTCCTGCCTCAAATTTGTGATCCTCCTGCCTCAGCCTTCCAAGTATCTGGGATTACAGACGTGGGCCACTGCCCTGGCTTGGTTTAGGTTTCCTCCTCCAAGATGGCTAGAGTGGCAAGCTTCAAAGTGCCTCTCATGAAAGGACCAGACCAGGGCTCTCTAGTCCTTCCTTGAGAGTCACTTTGAAAGAGAAAGGGGCTGGGGAAAGACACCTGCGCCTGGGCGTGGGCTGGGAGTTGAAAACAACCCCCATCTCCCGTCCTGCTTTACTCAGAGCCTGGCCGGAGTGAGAATGGCTTTCCCCGTCAATCTGCAGCTTCGCCACCACCATCCTCACCCCTAACTCCCAGCGAGTTACACTCCACGAACTGAGCAGAGTGAGGCTGACTGCGGACCCGCCAGTGCCCGCTGGCCACCTAGGGAGGCCCAGCGGCAGCGGGCGGCGCTGCAGACCCTCTGCTGTCCCCCAGCTGTCCCCCAGCCCCCGGAGCCGGCCGACTGAGCTCGTGTGCCGGCGGAGATCCCCGGGCGCGGGCGCGGGCCTGGGCGGGGAGCAGCTCTCAGGGCTGGGCGGGGCGGAGCCGGCGGCGGGAGCGGCTGCGGCGGGCCGGCGCCCTCGGAGCCCGCTCGGCAGGGCTGGGGTGGCCCGCGCCCGCCGCGCGCAGACTCGCGGACGCTCGGACAGGCATGGTCAGTGCGCCGGGAGCGGGGAGCGGGACCTCTCCGGCATGTGGTCCGGGAGGTGAATCCGGAGCCCACACCCCGCCAGGAAGAAGGCAGGGGCGGTGGAGCCGCCCTGTCTCTTTAAGACTGTGTTCCTGCTGACACCGACGACGGTGAGCAACCTGGCCCCAGGTCCCGGCTGAAACCCAGGGAAGGGATGGGTCCTCGGTCTGATTCCGAGAGGTCGATCATACAATTCTCTGGGCGTGGATTTGGAGAAGTCATCAATGGTCGGAGGGCTCCACTTTGGGTCAGAGCCCCCAGATAACTTGTAAGTTTTTCAGGGTTCCTGGAGAGGGTGGTGAGAAAAGCGAGGCCAAGTGCCAAAGGGAAGAGGGCCCGCACCTGGCTTCTGCGTCCTAGGCACCTGGGAGGCACAGATCTTCATGAATCTGGTAAGTCCCTTAGCTCTTGGGCTTGGGCGTTGGGTGGGGAGGCAGGGGAACCTACCCTGGTTGGCTGTCAGGGCCTTGAGCCTGTTTCCTGGACTGAGCAGTGGAGCTGCACTGATGGGGCATCTGGCAGCCCCTCTGGGGACCTCAGAGGGCACAGCAGCAAAGAGCTGGTAGCATTGTGCCTCCAGGTGCCCAGTGGGTCAAAGGGTGAGGCTGAGTGGTCCGATGATACAGGGTGAGCAGCATGAGCATTGTGAAGTCACAGAGGAAGTGGGATGCTACAGCTGGGGCCTCAGGCTGCAGGAGGAAAGGTGTGGCCGGGCCGACTCAGGGCCCTCTGTCTGTGGAAGGGAGCCTCTAGGATCAGCAGGGCATCTCTGGTGCCCAAGGTGGACTGATGAGTAGTTGGGTGAGGCCACCCCACCGCAAGGGTCCCCCTCCCCATCCTACATTGGAATGAAACAGTCCCTTGTCTGCCCACCGGAAGCCTAAATACCACCCACATCATGTGGAAGGAAAGCAGCAGAGAGACTGAATGGCACATCCTGCTGTCCTCCTTTCTCCCAAACCTCTTCCCAGGCAGGCCACCCTTGCTCTGTCCAAGCCTGGCTCTGTGAGCTTTCTGTTCCTCCTGAGTAGTTGACTTCCAGGATTTGGGGTTACCAGGGCTCTGGGGAGCATGCGCTGGAGAGAGATGCCTCTGGAAGATCATCACTGACTCCCATCCTCCCACTTCTCCAGATACAGAGGCCTCCATGGCTGTGATAAGCCTGCTGTTCTTGGCAGTGATGTATATTGTACACCACCCCCTGATGGTCAGTGACCGGATGGACCTGGACACACTTGCCAGGAGTCGGCAGATGGAAAAGCGAATGAGCGAGGAGATGCGGCAGTTAGAGACAGAGTTTGAAGACAGAAAGCGAGCGGCCGAGCAGAAGCAGAGGGCAGAGAGCTTTTGGAGAGGAGATACGTCCAGTGATCAGTTAGTGCTGGGGAAGAAAACTGCGGGGTGGCCATTCCAGGCCAATGGCCAGGAGGGTCCTTGGGGCTGGCTGCTGGGGAACCTGTGGAATGCTGGCCTCTTTTGCCTTTTTCTCATCTTTGAGTTCCTGCGACAGAACATGCAGCATGAACCGGCCTTTGAGTCCAGCAGCGATGAGGAGGAGGAAGTGCGTGTTGTGCCTGTCACTTCTTACAACTGGCTCACCGACTTCCCCTCCCAGGATACCCTGGAATCCTTTTACAAACACTATATCCAAAATGCTATCCGGGACCTGCCATCCACCTGCGAGTTCGTGGAGAGCTTTGTGGATGATCTCATTGAGGCCTGTCGGGCACTCAGCCGCCGGGAGGCTCACCCACAGTTGGAGGACTGCCTGGGCATTGGGGCTGCCTTTGAGAAGTGGGGAACCCTCCATGAAACCCAGAAATTTGATATACTTGTGCCCATCGTTCCCCCAGAGGGTACCATGTTTGTCCTGGAGATGAGGGATCCGGCGCTTGGCCGTCGCTGTGGCTGTGTATTGGTGGAATCCGAATGTGTGTGCAAGCGTGAGAAGCTCCTGGGAGACGTGCTGTGCCTTGTCCACCACCACAAGGATCACTCAGTGGCCTTGGGAAAGTGTAGCAGTTCCATCAAGGCAACTCTCTGCACCGGCAGGCACCTGGATGTGTGCAAGACTGTGCAGTGGTTCCGGAACATGGTGGGCAATGCCTGGGCCCTGGTGGCCCATAAGTATGACTTTAAACTCAGTCTGCCACCGTCTACCACCTCCTGTAAGATCAGGCTGGATTACCGCTCAGGCCGCTTTCTGTCAATCAGCTTGATCTTGGGGGTGCAGCGGGAAGATACCTTGGTCTACCTGGTGAGTCAAGCCTCTGAGCCGGAGCAGCTCACCAGTGTGGACTGGCCAGAGTCCTTTGCAGCCTGTGAGCACTTGTTCCTGAAGCTGGTAGGGCGCTTTGCCCCTGAGAACACCTGTCACCTCAAGTGCCTACAGATTATTTTGAGTCTCCAGGACCACCAGAGCTTGCCCCCTGGGGCATCCCACCCCATCCTAACCCCCTACCACTTCAAAACGGCACTCATGCACCTGTTGCTGCGGCTGCCCCTGACAGACTGGCAGCAGAGCATGCTTTCTCAGAGGCTGCAGGACCTCCTCTGGTTCTTGGGCCGTGGCCTCCAGCAAAGGTCCCTCAATCATTTCCTCATTGGTAACAACTTCCTGCCCCTGACCATCCCCATCCCGAAAACGTTTCGGAATGCTGAGCCTGTCAATCTCTTCCAGCACCTGGTGCTGAACCCCATGGCGCACAAGCAGGCGGTGGAAGAGTTCCACAACCTTCTGACCCAGGTGAAAACGCTGCCCTGTGCCCCATTGGCTGGGGCACCTTAATGTAAAGGCCATTAAAGAAAAAAAAAACCCCACAAAAATGGAAGAAGGTATTTCTAATTCCTCAGGCTGCCAAAGAGTTTATCTTTCCACATATATCACTGGTGTATATGTATGTGACCTTCACCTTGCCAGTGGGGGCTGTGGATAGAGTAAGGCACCCTCCGAGAAGTGCCTGAGTCCCTGAGGATAGATGCAGCCTGCAGGGTCTAATCTAGGGGGGCTGAGGTCTTCTCCTGACTTAGCTTTCATCATGACCCAAAGAAGGTCCAGGGAACTGGATGTTATAGGAGGATCTTGTAGCTAAGGAGCTGAGATCCTGTGAAGTTGTGTTTCTATATCAACACTGGAAGCAAAAGAGAACCAGAGAATACCTCCATCCCAGCTTCCTCTTTTTGTGAATGGTTCCCACACGTTCCTTGTGAATTGGGTCCCTGTTGAACTGTTAGCTGGATTTCCCTCCCAGGGGACTCCACCTTATCCCAAATACTGTGATGGCAGCTTCTCATACTTTGCGATCTAATTTTTCAGACCTTTGCTGTGTTGAAAATATAATCAAAATGTTTTTTTCCATTTTCCTAATTAACCCTATTTTCATGACATTATATTTTGTTTTATGAACTGAGAGAAACTCTAGTACTGCCCAAATCATTTTAGCATTGACTCACAAATATTCAGTCAATGGTGATTTGTCCCATAACTGAGATAATGTATTTCCTATATTTAATTAAAGCGCCAACATTTTATGACCTCTCCTGGGCCTGGAAGCAACATTTTAAAACCCCTCAGGGACATTATAAAGGCTGAGGGCAATCTTTCTGGGGGCTCTGTAATTATCAATTTGTTTCTGAGGAGAAGCCACTTGTGTGTTATATGGAAAGGTTTAGCTACCATGTGTAGCTGGAATTTTCTGGTCATGCCTTTGTGTTTTCATCAAAGATGACAAAGGGATTACTTGAAGTATGTTTGTGGTTTTGAAAAGGGGGATATCACAATCCAGGCCCACTGCCAGGGCTAGACAGGAAGGGACTGTGAAGCAGTTCAACTCCAACAGAATCCTGATTCTAAGAGATATGGTTGGTGTATTTTCCCCTCCTTTCAAAACCTTGAGCACCCTGAGGAGGGGCGTTAAGAAGTAGTGGTGGGTGTGGTTGTTTTGGAAAGGTTAAACTGTTCCTACCCAGTACGGCCAGGGAAGATCTGTTGGGAAGAGGATCTGGCCCCACATTCAACTTGGCCTTGGTGGAGGAGAGATGCCGACTTTTAGGACTTGTGTTAAGACCTCCACACTTTCTTCCACTCGGGGAAAAATAAATTAAATATCCCAGAAACCAATATCAGTCAATATTTGGGACTCTTGCTGCATGAAGCTATTCTGCTCCCATGTCACCTGCTGGCATCTGCCAGGTACTGGTTTCAAGGTAAGAAGCAGTGATGGTTGATTCTGTCAGTGGGATCTTGGTATTTTTAAAACATCTGTATATTTTTTTGTTGAGAAAAATCTTTGTTGGTGTTTTAGTTCGAATCAATAAGGAGGCTATTTTCTGTATAAACTGGAATCTTCAATAATACATTCAGCAGATCAGCATCCTTACATGTCTGTTCCCAAGAAGTTCATGTTACTGACAGCTCCATCATACATCCTGGTATTTCTCAATGTACCTTAAACCAGTCTTCCCTGTGGTTTCTCAGTGGCATGGCCAGTAGCCAGGAAAGAGTAACTCAAACAGTAAGGAACATCTAGGTTATTAATTTTCATGGTGCCCAAACCAAAATATCAATGACATTAAAAGATCTTAGTGGCTACAAACAATGTAAGCACTAGAAGTCTACCTAGGTAGAAAGAAGGTGCGATCTTTAGGTCTACATGGCTGTTTCTAGTCTAACAGGAGACAAGAAAATATGAATTTATGAGTGGGCAGGCAATTACAAAGGGATCAGTCAGCAAAACTTGGGTGGGGCAGAAGGTACAAGAAAGAGTACATGAAACAACAAAAAAAAAACAAAAACAAGTAGTAATGAAAAGAACAGACCCGTAGTGCTCTGGGAATACTTTCACAATTAAAGGGGAAACCTCTGCAGATAGTTAGGAAGCTAAGCTTTATTCTGAAACAAAACCTGGCAAGCCCCAGGATACAACAGCATTTCTAGTTAATGGGACTGCTTGGCCCTGACCTAGTGGTCCGGGCACTGTTCTGCTTTACATCTGGTAATTCATTTAATCCTCACATTAGGACCCCACTAAGCAGGTCCTTTATCCCCTCTATTTTACATAGGAGGAAACCGAGGCATGCAACTTTCCCATGGTCACATAGCTCAGGAGGTGGCAGAGTCTTGAAAGTACCTGTCCTCGCAAGCTTTCAGTGGTTTTGGAATGAAACAAGGTTTAGGGGTTAAAGTGATTTGAAAAGAAAAAAAAAAAAGCGCCATGTTAACTTTAAGATAAAGAGAAGTATAGTTCTGTTTGGAAATTCTAGAAGACAGAAATTGTTGATTCTTAGCCCAGTCTTAGGAGGTCAGGAGTTTCATATGGCATACAAAAATTAAAGGCATTTGCATAGAGGCCAAAATGAATGCTAAGCCATTTCCACTATATGTATGTTTCAGTGCTTGATGGTTTAAATCAGGAACTACATTGTGATATAAGCAGCTACAGGATGGAAAGGCAGCACAAACTTCTTTTTAGTATGGGGGTATTGAACTCAGGGGCCCTCTACCCTGAATTACATCACTAGAACTTTTTACTTTTTTTTAATATTTATTTTTTAGGTGTAGAAGGACAAAACACAATGCCTTTATTTTTATGTGGTGCTGAGGATCAAACCCAGGTCCCGCCCGTGCTAGGCAAGCGCTCTACCGCTGAGCCACAATCCCAGCCCGACCTTTTTACTTTTTGAGACAGGGCCTCAGTAAGTTGCTGAGGCTGGCCTCAAACTTATGCTCCTCTTGCCTCAACCTCCCCAGTAGCTGGATTACAGGTCTGTGCCACAGGGCCCAGCTGGTTAGAGCAAATTTGAAGCCAAAAGGTAGCTTGTTCAGGTAGCCAGTTGATACTCCACTGTTCTTCACCTAAACTTAGGCTGCTGTCCATATATTTGGGGGAATCCCAGAGAGGAGCACAATGTGGGAGAGGGCTGGCGCCAGCATTGCTTTTCTGGCAGCTTGCGAGTGTGGGGAGGGGCCTGCCACTTTTATACAGAGGAACTGAGCTTTGCATACTGCTGATAAATCTTGCAATCTTTTGGCACCTTCAATAGCCCTAACTCCAAAACAAAGACAGCATTCAGAGCAGGAAGAAAGACCTGCTTGCATGGGGTGTGTCTGCCCCACAGAGACCTGGGATGAAGCTGGCTCTGCCCCCTGCACCCAGCCCCAAGCAGTCAGCTCCATTATCACCAAGAACAGCCTCAGCCTCACCTAGTGGGCTACCAAGAGCCTGCTCTGCCAGAACTCTAAGCTAGTTCCACAGTGCCTCCTATCACCCTCCCAACCCCACATCCTGAAGATCACAACTATTTCCTCAAGTGTGCTCAGCAGAGAGAACCAGTTAAGCAAAGGAGATAACAGGGACCCTAGTACATAATGAGCCCACATGCTCACAGAGTTGACTCTATTACCTAATTCTTCATAGTATCCAGTGAAGGGGGATCATCCCCATTTTGTAGACTGGGAAGAAAATGGTGTCCAGAGAGGTTCACATGCCCAACCCAGGATAGCACTCCATGCCCAGGGGGTAAACCCCAGGGCCTCAATCCAGGATTTAAACTTGTCCCACTAGGTTCATTCAATACCCATTTAAATACTTGCTGGGTTAGGTTAGCATCAAGCCCTGGGAAAACAATGGTGAACAAAGACTGATTTGTCCCCATGGAGTTGACAGTCTGGAGGGGACAGACAAGAAAGTCACCCAGCACGTGGAAACTGCAATGTGGACTATTCTCTTGAAGCCTCCAGTAAGGAGATTTGAGTATTAGGGAAGGCCTCCATGAGAAAGTGACAGGAGCTGAAACCTAACAGCTAACTGGGTGAAGGTGAGGATGAGGTTCTTAAGTGGAGGAGAATGCACATACCGAGGCCCGAAGTGAGGCGGGCATGGGGAGGGCAAGTCTGAAAGAAGGCCCAGTTGGCTGGAGGGTAGGGACCAAGGAAGGCAAGGTTCAAGATGGGGCTGGGAGGCCACGGGGGCCAGACCCTGCAGGGCCTGGAGGCCCCTGCAGAAGTTCCCGGGACAATGGACCCTTTCAAGGGTTTTAGACTTCTGGAAGTGGTGGGGAATAAGTGGGAGTGACAGATCAGATTTATACTTGGCAAACACCACTCTGGGCCCAATGAGGAGGCCAGAGTAGGGCAGCAAGAAGGTCATGTGGATGAAAAGGAGAAAGGCCAATACTGAAAGAGATTTTTAGGAGACGAAAGCTGGATAATGGATTATGTGCAAAGAGGGCAACATCCAGGATGACTCTTGGGTGCTGACTCTGGCATCCACGAGGTGAAGAACACTGTCAACTTTTCTTTGCTTATCTCACACTGCCTAAATTTGAAAGTGGTCACTGGCATACAAAAACCAAATAGCTTTAAAAGTGACTTTTGACAAAGTGCAGCGTTTTTTGTTGTCGAAAGGATTGAGAGGCAAGATGGCATTTAGTGGGCAAATGGTGTCAGGGATGCTCAACAGTTCTACAATGAAGGCAAGGGGTGCCTGTGTCAAGAATTGTTGCACTCTGAATGCCACTAGCAGCCTTGAGGAGAAACATACTAAAAGACACCATATGTGTGATTCATAAGAAATTATAGGTTAGGTGTCCAGGTGTAATCCAGGGACTGAGGAGGTTGAGGCAGGAGGATGGCAAGTTCAAGTCCAGGTCAGCAACTTGGTAAAGCCCTGTGACTGGGGATGTAGCTTAGTGGTAAAGCACTCTTGGGTTCAATCCCCAGCACATTCCTCTCCCTGTTCCCCAAGAAAAGTTATAGGGTGTTCTATGGATATTTGAGGGAATTGTCCCATCTTTCCTCCTATAATACCATTCTTGGGTATTATTCTTGGGGTTCGATGAAACTCAATGGACACGTGGCATTTGTGGCATTTGTGGCATTTTATGCTAAGCTCCGTTAACTTTTCCAACTTTTTTTTCTTTCCCCGTTGCTGGGGATTGAACCCAGGGCCTTGATGCTAATTAAGCACAAGCTCTACCACTGAGCTACACTCCAGCTCTCCAACCTTTTTGTAGGGGGGGGGGGTAGAAGATGGTTTCCAGGAATTTTTTTCTTTTAAAATATTTTTTAGTTGTAGACGATACAATACCTTTTTATTTATTTATTTTTATGGGGTGCTGGGGATCGCACCCAGTGCCTCCTCACACGTGCTAGGCAAGCGCTCCACCACTGAGCCACAACCCCAGCCCTCCAGGAAGATTTAATCTGAATTAAAACGACGGCCTTCATTTTCTACACACACATTTTGCCTCCGTCCTTTCCCTGCTTGGAAAGCGCTTCATAGGGTCCCTCTCACTTCGGTCCCACAGCTGCTCTATCCCTTCTCTGCCTTTGCTGGTCTCAGCACAGGTCTCCAAGGAGACAGTCAT